TGCCTGGCCTGGGTCTAGCTGTTGTGTTCAGCTCCTTCCTGCTACATCCCTTGGAAGTGAACCTGTTGTGCCCCTCTGGCACAACAATGAACCTGTGGTGCCCCTCTGTTGTGCCCCTGGTCCAGGAGACACAGGGGAGTGCAGAAGGTCTCCCACTCACTAGCCAGGTCTGGGCTTGGGCTGGATCTGGGGGTCCCAAGAGGGTCTCAGAAGTTCTCACTCATTTGGCAGGCTTGGGGGCGGGGGCTCTGGGTGCATGGTGGGGTTCTGAGGGTGCGGTAGAGGGTCTACCTGAGTTTTGGTCCAGAGAGGTCCCGCGGGCATAGGGAAACTGGAGGCTCTCCCACACACTCGTCGGGCCTCAAAGGTCTTTATTATATATTAAGTTCTGGAATCAATAATAGATAACACTTTGACAGTGCTTACTCCAAGGCAGGTACTGTTTTAAGTGCCCTAATAGCATTACCCATATGGCCTTAATAGCAATTCTGTCTGCGTTAGTACTGCAGCTCCAATCATAAGTGGGTATTGGAATGTGGTTAATAAAAAATGAGGAATTAAATGTTTAAAGAGTTTAATTTCAACTATTCAAATTTCAGTTGAAATAACCACATCATGTCTTCCACAATGGACAGAGGAGATTCAGATAATCATACAGGTTTTTTTAATCTATTAACATATGACATTGGAATGATATATTATGCTAAGCCATATTTTATCTCTAAAACAAAGCTTACTTGATAATCCTAGATTTGACTTGGAAATATATTATTAATGTAATAAGATGGAGAAAATTGCACTCACTAGAATTCTTATTAGAGATAGTTCTATATTTATGCAGGAGAAATGCTTCATACATCTCTTGGGATGGTATATAAGACCTTGTGGGGTGTACAAATAACAAGGATAATGGAATTTGCTCTCCATAATGAAAGAGTATGGAATTTTAAGTTGCAAACAGAACAACTAAGAGGGACTGAGTGGAGCCAATGAAGCTAGGTACTCTCTGAAGGAATAAGAGAAAGACAAGCATTTGTGATGCTGTAGAAAAGAATATAGGAAAGTCAGGCATAGTGGCGTATGCCTGTAATCCCAGCACTCAGGAAGCTGAGGCAGTAGGATTACTGCAAGTTCAAGACCAGCCTGAGCTACAAAGTGAGCTCAAGGCCAGCCTTAACTGCATATTGAGACCCTCTTACAAAAAGAAGAAAAAAAGGAAGGGAAGGAGGGAAGGAAGGAAGAAAGGAAGGAAAGAAGAAAGGAAGGGAGGGAGGGAGGGAGGGAGGGAAGTAGGAAGGAAATATGGAGAAAACAATTTTTAGATGAGGATTTTTCTAACAAGATTTTACAAATCATATGTTATAATCCCTTTTTTTGGTTTCAGAAATTTTCAGTAAAATCCAAAAAGTTCATTAATGTTAGTGTATGATCCGATCCTGCTATATATTGAATAGCAAACTGATGTCTTTTTTCCTTATAATTCCAGACATGTGATAGAATTTAATTTCCTCAACTTTTAGAAATATTGTGACTTCCACTGTCTAATAAATATAAATGGAACTGACCATGGGTCATTTCTAGACAAAAGTGTTAGACACCTATGTAAGGTTTTCTATGCTCCCTTTCCACAATCAGGGCTATTGGCCATGTTCAGCATAATAGAATCTCTTGTGGTCAATGTCTCTAAATGCAAGTGGTAAGAAACAGAGCTTGGAACAATCTGGGATGGACATAGTGTGAGTGGGAAACACTTGTTTACTATCTTAAGTCACTAAAACTGATTATGCCATGGCATAATTAGTTTATCCTGATAAAGAAATAGCTTACAGTGAAGTATTGTTGCATTTCTTTAAACTTAAGTGTGTGGAACTGGACTAAGAAATAGAAGGTGAGGGGTAAAGAAAATATTACCAGGCATAAAAAGGTGAAACACCATTATCCTTTCTTTCATTTTTTAAAATATTTCATTTAGCTGGAAGAGTTTCTCACTATGCTGCTCAAACTAGTACTGATCCTCCTGTCTCAGCCTCCCCAGTGCTGGGATTACAGGCACGCATCACCACGCTCCATCTCAGTGGCCGAATCTGCGTGCCCGGGGATGGGGCCAGCGTGGCCTGTGGTGCTAGGGATCCAACCCTGGTCCCTGCACTTGCCTAAGCAGGTGCTTAGTCCACTGAGTTATCTCCCCAGCCCCTGAGACTCCATTATCTTCATGTATTTTATTTTACTGTAACAGAGTTATTATAGGTTAGGTAATAATTTTAAGAAATAGAACTTTATTGGCTTCCAAATCTGGAGTAGGGGTCCAAGAGGGATGTGCAGGACATGGCGAGAGCCTTCTTCCTTTATAGCACCCATGGCGGAGAGTAGAAGCCCAGAGAGCAAGCAGGGGGCTGAGTTCACCTGTATAGGAGGCTACCACTTGTAATAACTAACCTGTCCCCCTAATGACTTTGGTCATTCACGAGCCCAATCACCTTTTAGGTTCCACTTCCTAATACTGCTACATTGCAGATTATGTTCCTAACAAGAGGAGTTTGGGGGACCCAGTCTAATGATAGTACCCATGTCATACAGTGAAAAATCATTTGGCACAAGGTTAAGAAATCAAAGGACTACAGCAATAATAAAAATGACACCTAAAAATAAACGTGCTACGTCTATGGGCAGAGGAAGCCTGCCAAAATCTCAAAGAAAGAAGCCATGCATGTGCTTCAGAGATTTGTGCTACATAAGTATGACTAACCTAGATTAAAGTGTTTCTGACTATACTTATGCAAGACAATAGACATCATGTTCTGTTGACAGGAAGTGAACAGACAAAGCTGGCTTCAATAAAGGCCCTAGCCTCTGGTGTCCACTTGAGACCCAATCAAAGAGAAATGGAAATGGAAGAAATTCCTAAAAGTAGAAGCTAGGAACAAGGAAGAATAATGAACAAGGGAACCAAATCAAGACTTGATCAAGAAAAAGACTCATATTCAGCAAATGGACTCTTTTCCTGTCATCAGACAAACATTTATTGCAGGGCTGTGGGTGTAGCTCCCTGGGAGAATGCACATTCTGTGTGTACAAAGCCCTGGGTTCCACCCCCAGCTCCTAAATAAATAAAAAAGTGTTTTTGATTGGCCCAAGTCCTATGTACTTTGAATATGTGAAAGATAGATCACATTTTAAATTGTAAGTCTCAGATCAGAAGAAGCTACATCCAGACCTGATAGAGACCATTATAAGCATCGCCTCATTCTTGAGGAAGAGGCTGTCACACATCACCCAGCGGCCCAGGACTTTGAGGCAGGTCTTGTTATACTGGGGAAATTTTGAATAGTCTCCCTTGAAAATCAGCCAGTCATGTTTTCAATATACAATGAAGTGAAGTGAATACTTGGTGGCTACAGAAGAATTTTCTGGTAATCATTAAAAGTTTGCAGACATTTTAATTCTTTCAGCATGCTAGGTAAAATCAGGGTTGTTCTTAATCAACCTTGAATAGATGCAGCCACATGGCTCGCCTTTACCAATGACATGGAAGTGGAAATCATGTGTGTCCTCCCTATGACGCTGCTTTAAGAATCACAACAGGATCCCTCGTGCTTCCTTTGTCTTGTAGCAGTCACTCAGGAATGCTCTAAATAGTTGACTGAATTGCTGTATCCCTAAGTACAAAAGTCCCCAGCTAACCCTTGGCAGTGCAGAGTGCAAGACATAAACTGTCACTGTTTCAAAGGAAATGCTGAAGCTTGGGCAAATGATAAACAACATTGTGTCTATTCTGGCACATAAAATTTGATTGGGTTTCCTTTATAAAACAAAACAAAAAACAAATGGAGTCAGCCTGTGATTAAAGACAGACACCTTCTGGGTCACATCTAGAATATGCACGTCTATATTCATTATGCTAACTATTGTGCTCATTTTGGGTTTTTATGTCATGGTTATGGTAGCCTTATGAATAGAAAAAATATGGGTTTATCTCTAAAAGAAAGGAATTATCTGTTCCTTAATAAACCTGTAAAACCACTTTGGTCAAAGATGTTTCAACTTAAAAAATGAAAGGTACCTAAATTACATTAGTTTAGCAAAAATATTAAACAAATGAATTGTCTCACATGGAAGAAAGACACGAGCTGCGCCAGGCACTCAGATAATAGTGAACTATTTCTGATAATATCCAGCCATTTCTCTTCTCCTTTTCCCTTTGTCTCTGCCTGCATCTCAGATCTATGGCTATAATTTCTGCCTGTTTCGATCTCCATGTCTCCTTAGTTTCTGGCTGCGTGTATCTGCCCAGGGGTTGCCACACCCCCGCCTCATCCTCTCTGTCTCTGTTCCTCTGACTCTATTTCTGTGTCCCTCTCCCTTGTATTTCCCAGTGGGCTTTATGCCTGTGGAAGAGCTTACATCGGTGGGAGGGGATAGCTGTGACCTAAAACACCCCCACTCAACAATCCAGAAGAGAAATTTCCCCACAGATAAAAGATTGCATTACAAGAAAGGACTCTGATTAATTTTTCTTTGGTCGCATGCCCCACCTTATGTCAATTTATAGAGATATATGTGAATATGGCCAAATTTAGGTTTAATTCCTATGGGCAGGAGTCAGTGTCTTGTAATGTTTTGTTATTATAACATCACTGGAGGAAGCAAGCACACATCCTCGAAGGAAGGAGAAGTAATGGATACAGGTGGGAAAGAAAGAGAAAGAAGAACAGGAGAGAGGAAAAGAGAAAACATAGTTATTGGATAAATAAACATAGTAGGTAATCATTCCAAAACCATGGACTTATTTCTGAAAGAAAACAAATCTCTACAAGCTATACAAACCCCACCACCACCACCATGGTTACTGATGTAGTTGAGCTTTTTGTAACTCCACTTGATTTCATTAACTTATGACTTTTTAGAAAAGTATCTAATTCATCTAGATTTTCAAATTTATTGGCAGAAGATTGAACAGGCCTTTCCTCATAACGTCCATCAAAATCATTGCTAATGGCATAATGCCGAAGGAAATTCTGTTAAAGCAGTTCCCTGAGGAACTAAGACAAAAATATTTCAGGCTGCAGCTCTCGGTTTAGAAATCCAGGAATAAAATGGAATGTGTCTAGAGAAAGGATGGACTTTTTATCCTTCAGGCAATTCTCCATATATATTGCTTTCACAACTGAGCTTTTGATAGGTCCTGGGCAGCAGAATTTTCTAGATTACAGCCTCTGACAAGAAGTGGAAGGCAAATTATTTTTACAGTGCACAATTTCATGTTTCATTGGTCAGCATGAATAGAGTTAGCATTTTTTTATGAAAGTTAAGCCACCTCAATAAGACACGTGTTTGAGAAGAAGAAGACCGCCTCCTGACCACACAAACTTACTTCATGGAGTAAGTACGCATGGGTAGGGCCAGGTTTTCCCCACAGCAACTACGCAACTGAATAGAACACAAGATAATAAACTACAGAATGACAAATGGTATCCTGAAAAAGCACAGGAGCAAATGTACAGTCATCAGGGGAGATAGACAAGGCAGGTGGAAAAGTAGAATGTTGTACAGGTCTCACCAAGAAAGAGGTAGATGAAATGGGTATCGTCAGATGAGGATGATTTTGATGGGCTGAATGCAAGCGGAGGGAAGGTCAGAGACAATTTCATGCACATGTCTTGTGAAACACTATGCACCTTTAGAGTTTGAAAAAGGACTGAAAAGATAAAGCCGAGATTGAGTGAAAAGATGATCAACTGAGTGTCCAGGCGCCATGACACGAGGAAATCCAGGCTAAATAGTGCATGGTGTGGAAAGTGACCCTGAGAAACCAAAGGCCTTACTTGTTGCCTCTCCATAAGCACTCGGTAGAAGGGACCCCATGAGTGCCCCCAACTATAGTAACACAACACAGAGGGAAAGTGAAGCTTCACTCTGCCTGAGTTCAAACCAACACTAAGAAGCAACAGGGTGAAGCCACTAAGCCAGGAAGTGGACCTGCTTGCACAGTCGGGCGATGCCTTTATTCTCATGTAATATGGTAGTTTTCTGAATCTTATACATCCTTCATAAATAAACGATGCACTTTTCCTTATTTAGGAAGTACTCAGAGGTGTGCTGAATAAGACAGTAAATCCAACACCAGTGTTGATTTTGTTCCCTTTAGCTTTTTCCTTTTGCTTTTTCTTTCAATTTCTCCATAAAACATACTCATTTTTTACAATTTCAACAATATTTAAGTAATTGTCCTAGGATATATGCCAAACCCAGGACCCTATATTTTTTGTTAAAATGCCCATAGGAATGGACATTCACAGGAGTGGGGCCCTTGAGTGGCCTTCTCTCCAAGGCTTGAAAGCTCACTGCAGTAGATATAACCCCATCCCACCTCCGTTCTTCAAGGCTGTCCAGTGGGAATTGTAGATGTGGTGCAGGTCTGGAATGCAGTTGGAAGCAGTGTGGCAGCGTGTTGGGGCACTTGTTCCTTGATTCAGCATCCCCAGGTGACAGATGCAAGAATGTTCTGATTCTTTGTTTCTGCGCTTCCCTCCTTCTCTGTCCACCTTGAATAGCACCAACCTTAACAACCACTCTCTTCTCTACCAAGAATCAGAATCAATTGGTCTTTCCACTGGTTCTCATAGATGTTTATGTGTCCACCCATGGTAGAGGCTGCACTTCATCAAATTTCTTCTTTCAGCGTCTCTCTCCCTGAGACAATGAGTTTAGGTAAAAGAGGTCCAGCGATGATCTTCATATTCTCCCAGTTACAGTGTCAGTCCATAGCAAGGAGCAAGTAATTGTAATTCTCGGCAGAATCAAATTAAATGAGAGAGCTAAAAATGTTATCTGTTTAAAAAATATAAATAATTCAGGGGCCAGGGAGATGGCTCAGTGGAATAAGCGCTTCCTTGGCAAGCACAAAGGCCTGAGTTCAATCCTCGGTTCCGCAAAAAAAAAGAAAAAAAAAAGTAACAATTTAGATGAAAAAAATCACATGATTAATTTGATAAGGCCATTTTAAAAAGAAATTACTGCAGTGCCAGCCCCACCCCAGAGGTGTGCTGAGCCAGCAATTGAGAATGGGTGAGGTGGCACGCACCTGTAATTCCAGCACTTGGGAGACTGAAAACAGGAGGATCACTATGATTCTGATCTACGTAGTGAGACCTGGCAGAGAAGGAAGGAAGGAAGGAAGGAAGGAAGGAAGGAAGGAAGGAAGGAAGGAAATTACTGGGCCAGGAACATAGCTCAGAGGCTTAAGCACATGCCTAACAAGCACAAGGTCCTGAGTTTGATCCCCAGTACCACAAAAAAAAGAGAAAGAAATTATTTTTGAGGATCAGAACTAATTATAAATTAATTATGAAAACAATGGTAGAGAATAAGATCAGAAGTGAAATACCACAAATAAAATGTTAAAAATATAAACATAAGGATTAATTGTAGAAAATAATTAATACAGTGATAAATTGATATGAGCTTGCCAATTATCCCTTTTCTTCCTAGAACTGGAACTCTCGTTTATAATCTGACCCTTCTAACAACTGTCTATACTCCAAGAAGGGCTACAAACTAAGACCGTGAAGGCCAAGGGCCGAGGCGCACACTTTCAATCTGAGCACTTGGAAGCCTTAATCAGGAGGATCTCCACAGTTCTGAAGCCAGCCTGGGCTACACAGTAAGGCCCTGCCTTTAAAACAGAGCAAAAGAAATGAAAACACAAAGACTATTTGGGGATCTTTATTTGGGGATGATTATTATTACTATTATT